CCGGGCGCAGAGATATTTGATTCCGAGTGGCGCCGCACGCGCAGCACGGAGCACGGCGCGGCGGAGCCCCTCAAGGGCAGGGGCATGTTTCACCGCTTCACCGTGGCGCGGGCAAGGCGGGCAAGGCAGAGAGGAAAGCGACCTGCTCGCAGAGTCCGGAAAAGTCATCCATCCCTCAGGCCGCGCAGCGCCCATCCCTCCGGGCTCCCCGGCGGTCGACGGTACCCGCCAGTCAGCCGGCGGGTGGGTCGGTACCCACGGCCGGCCGTCCAGCGGGGCTTCCGGTTGCCGGGGCGCCCCGCGACGCCCCGTGGCGCGGCCCGGCCCCGTGCCTCCGCGCGCACTGCATAAGAGATGCAGCGGGTCTAGAGCCCCCCCGGGGGCTCGGCGGACGGGCGGGGCAGTGCCGGGCAGGGCGGGTCCGTCCCCGGGGGAGGGGTGTGGGCGGGGGCGGCAGCTACATCGTGGTGCTGGCGAGGCCGGCCCCGCTCGGCTAAAAGCCCCCCGAGGCCCGGGCCGCCCCCGGCCGCCCCCGGCGTCCGCACGGACCGCGGCCATCGCGGCCGGGATGAAAGGTGAGACACATGGCCCACGTCGCGCGGCCTGGCAGGCTGGCATGGCAGGCCTGGCGGACAAAAGCGGCAAAAACGGGGAGAAGGAGAAGAAAGGGGAAAAGTTGGCGAGCTGACGGGGCGGGCAGGGCGGGGCGTGACGGCGCGACGCGTGACGGGGATCAGGGAGCAGCAGTGCGGGCCTGCGGGTCGCAGGGAAGAGAAGAAGGAAAAGGGGGAAGGAATAAGGCGACATTCCGCAAAGTTTGCAACCTTCCTCGCTTATTTTCGGCGCGCGGACACGCCGCCATCGCGTCGGGGCCGTGTCGACGTGTGCGTGCGACAGAGACAGAGACAGGAGAGGGATGCGCGACTAAATTATGCAGCCGGCAGCGCGGCGTGGCGCGGAGTGGCGTGTGCGGGCCATTGTGGCGTAATCTGAGGTCCCGGCAGGCGAGCAGAGGCAAAGGGGGCTCGTATGGCACACAACAAGCTTGAATGCCGCCTGATAACGACAGCAGCCTCCCCCGCCCCCTTTCCAGCCGCCCCCAACCCCAATCTGGTCCGCCCCCGCTTCGGCAACAACTTCCAGCAACCACGGCACGGCCGGGCACGGCGGCAGGGCGGCAGGGCGGCGGCCCGACAGCAAAAACCTGCTTCTTTGCCGAGCGCTTCTTTGAGCGCCTCGCGTCGCGCCGCCGCGCCGGAATACGTAATCCGGCCAAATTAGGCGGCGGACGGAGCGCGGACGGGACGCCCTCGCCGAATTTCAACAACTGCACGGACTGCACGGCCCGCGCGCCCACTCGGCATGCGGCAGCGCTACAGCAAGCAGGCCTTTTTGCTGCCCTGCCTGCACGGCCGCTACGTCTGCCGCACTGCAAAAAGCCAGCCAGCAGCAAGCCAGCCAGCCAGCGAGGGTAACTTCAGACAGAAATTCATCAACTTCCTAATAGTGCAGCAGCACACCCGGCTTGGCGCCCGGACGCACCGCACCGCACCTCTGACCGCCGCGCCCCAGTTTCGCTCGCACGGCGGAGCGGCGGAGCGGCGCCCCTGTCCAACTTGATCCCAAACGAACATAAAGTAAAGGTGCCCGGCCGGCCGGGCGGTGTACATCAAAACGCCGCCAAGCCCCCGGGACGCACGCTGGGCGCACGCGGCACGCGCGCGCTGCCATAACTCACACCGGGCCTATCCTCCATCGGGCGATGGCCAATGAACGACGCGCACGCAGCACGCACCAACCAACGGCCGCGGCCCACGCACGCGCACGCACGCGTCGACCAGCCCTGCCAGGGCTGCCCGCACAGCGCGCCAGGCGGCGCCAGGTCACGGAAGCCGCCGCCATCGGCAAAGGCCCGTAAACTAAACTGTTTCATTCTTTGGACAACACAATCCACTACGCCCTTCCCCCGAGTCCTGGGCAAATCAGCCTGGCCCCCGAATCTGTTTTCCGTGACTATACCAACATTGTGCAAGAAAAATGGAAACTTTTTGCAGCAAGATTTGAGGAAAATAAAGTGAATTCAAAGTTAAATTAATGATGTTCTAGCCTGACCCTGACCAACAAGACCGAGAACAAGACCCAGTCTTGAGGTAGTTTGCCGTGCCCCCATTGCAATGGGTCTGCCCACGCGTCCCCGCGAGCACGTGTGCACGTGTGTGCGGGTGAAAGAGAGAGAGACAGAAAGAGATAGACAGAGAGCAGAAGAGGAGAGGAGGAGGGGGAGGGGAGGGGGGACGTTAGGCCCGAGTGACCTGTACCCGGAGGCACCCGTGTGCTGCAAAGGACTGGGAGGGACAAACACACATCCCCGCTACAGGCAGACAGACGGACACACACACACGCACACACACACACACACACACACACCGCGCGTACACTCACACAGGGCACTCATCAAGCAGAGCCCCAGCGTACAATAAAACGAGAGAGAAAACGCAATAAAAAGCAATCAAGCCATTCATTGGTTAAAACGAAGGAGAGGATTGGCGCACATTTTAAGAAGCAATTGAGGGTGAAACACTGTTAAAAATGTTATGAATTTTCATTACAAATATGCATTGAAAATTCATGAACGCCATTAAATTTCATAGCGGCCATAAAATTTCATAAATATAATGAAATGTCAGAACACATTTCATGAAACGTTATAATATCTCCTTGAAAAATCAAGTCTGCAATGAAACGTCAAGAGATTTGATGAAAAGTCAAAACGTGAAACTACAAATTTAGTGTGGTTCTGAAAATTCATAACCAAGATATAAAATTTCATGTCGGTCTTTGACTTGTGATGGGCAGGTTTTGATGGCTCTTACATTGCCCGGGTGGAAGAAACTTCAGGTTTGACTGAGTTAGAACCTAATCGTGATTCGGAATATTCCTATGCTCTTCCCTGAGTAAATGTAGCGTGATAATATAAGTAGTAAATCAAACGTCACACCAAAAATGAATTTTAGTATCATTTAACGCAAACTGTGGTCAATCCACTGCTCACATGGTGCGGCCTGCCAGCCACCTGGGCTCAAAGTCAGGTTTCAAGAAGCTGCCGCTAGGTGGCGCTCGGAGTGCCGTGTTCGTTCACTTGTAAGTTTTGCCTATTCATTTAAGTAAAATCAATATTTTTTTCAAAAGTTTATCCTTGGTTACCTAAGTGAATATCTACTCTAGACGTATGCTAAAAGTGTTAAACAAAATATTACTCTGAAGTCGAGAAAAACGCAGAACCATGTTGCGACTCGCTGGCGCCTACAGTCGGCCATTGGGTTAGGTCCAGCGAAGGCCTCCTCGTGGTTGTGGTACAACATGCCACCAACTCATCTGACTGAGTATCACTCCGGGTTAAGATCTATATCTAAGGTGGACCTAGCCCGCTTGCAATTTTTGGAACTGGTGTTGGCCTGAGAGTCAAGATACCGGTCGAGTTTAAATTACCCATTTATGAAAAACAATACCACAAATGGAAATAAAATGTCAAAACTTGCATATGAATTTTCATTAACAATTTAATGAAGTTTCACAACACTTTGCTATGAAATTTCATGGTGATTTTCTGCAATGAAATTTATTTCATTGCAGAAAATCGCCATGAAATTTCATAACAGAAAAGTGATAATAATTACATTAACATGTTTTGAAATTTCAATCCGAATTTTTTAACAGTGAAGTAAAAAACATAAAAAATAGTTGTACGTAAACTGAAAATAAAAAGCCGGCTGGGGGATAAAACGAAAGCACGGTGCTCGGCGGCGGCTCGGGGAGGTTGTAAATAAAACGACCACCACGGCGCGGCCATGGTAGGCCATGGTGGGCCATGGTGGGCCATGGTGGGCCGTGGTGGGCCATGGTGCGCCATGGTGCGCCATGGTGGGCACCGCGGGGACGGCTAATGCGATCGGGGAACACGAGTGCGATCAGAATCGTAAAGCGCGTACCGACGGACGGACGGACGGACGGACAGACCGGGGCCAACGGACAGCGGACGGACGGACGACGTCCACAAAACCGAATCGACAGCGGGGAGGGTGCGCTGTGCTCGCGCTGTGCGCTGGCTGCGCCGCGTGCCCAACCCTCAAGCAGCGGGGCAGCGAGGCAGCCGGGCCGAATCGGCCGTAAAAAGACGAAACGCGATCCATGCCGGCGCAGAGACGATCCAGAACATTTTTGTCGTCATCTTTTGTTTTCGTTTTTATTTTTTATTTTTTTCTCTGCTCCCCGGGGGACTTGTGGCGCCAGCCGACGACACCCCGACGGGGAAAGGGGAGTCGAGCGCGCCACGCCGCGCCACGCCGCGCCACGCGCAGCCCACCGCATCGCGTTTCGCGTCGGCAGCGCGTCGCGTGTTGCTGTTTCAAATTAATTAACGGCCTGCTTAGCGCCCGTCCCCTAATGCTGCGGGACAGGGCGGGGCACTGCAAGGGCAGACACTCGGAGAATGGGAGAACTGGCAAGGGGGCGTAGGGGCGTCCATATGAGAAGAAAAAAAACTTTGTTGTGGTGTGGTGATCAGCTTTTTGATTGCATAGCCATCGAATTCGAACAAAGTCGATCACCACAACAAAGTTCTCTTTTTCGCGTGCAGCTCGGTCCAGCTTGTCCAGACTGCGGGTGGCGGGCCATGAGGACCAAGGGCGCCAGGGGCCGGGCAGGTGGACTCCGTTTGACTCGACTCCACAATCGACTCTGCAGCGTGGCGTGGCTGGGCGGGGCGGGGCGGGGCGGGGCTTGGCGTGTGGGCGGGGCGGGGCAAACATCACAAGCTGCGGGTGGCTGCGGCCCCGCGGCCCTTTCCCCTTCCAGCCGAGAGCGCAGGGCAGATCACAGGGCGAGGCGAGTCGGGGACCACCAGGCCAGTGTCCATCGGGCGGCTGCGAGAGGCCGCGCCGCGCCGGGCCGCCAGGACGTCAAACAGAACAGGAAGCAAAAGAGGAAGGCAAGATACTCACACTCGGTAGGCGATGATGGCCTTGGACATGCTAGACGCTAGGCGGGCCTAGGCTGGCATCGGGCTGGTGCTGTACACTGGGATCTGGCTGCGGGCAAACTCGCGCGCTCAAAGGGACGAACGACGAAAGCAAGCCACCCCAATCTGCCGGCTGTCAGGCCTATTCTGGGGCCGCCCCGCGACGCCCGGCCAGGCCGAGGCCACGGTATCCACGCCCTGATTGCCCCATTTCGGACACGTCAGGCCCAGCCTCCCCGACAACACTCATTCAGGTGGCGTGCGTGCATGGAGCCGACGGCCGCGGCCTCGCCGCCCAGGAGCTGCAAGGCCGCCGCGACTCACAATGCGCTACAACAAGGCCCTAGAGCCGCGGCGGGGCGGCGGCCCTAGTGTGGGCACCCGGCCGTGCTTCGTCCCTGTTCGCCAGGTTCGCTTCGATCCGCCGCAAATGACGGCCTGAATAATGCAGGGCCGCCAACACACAACGCGCGGGATGAATAAAACCGACTCACTGCCACGGCGCGGCACGGCAGGGCACGGCAGGGCAGGGCACGGCCCGGCACGGCCTGCAGAGAGGCGAGGCCCTTCGAGGACTTCCTCCCCTCCCACGAGCTCCCCCGCGACGCGCCAGCGCCGAGCAGGCCGGCGGCAGCGGCCAACGCCTGCGAGGTAGGCAACCCTACCGCAGCGCAGTCCCCGCGTTGCCGCGCTGCCGGGCGCTCTCCTCCGAGGCGCGCGGCGCCAGGCGACTAGAGTTGCCGCCCGTCCCGAGACGTCCCACAGTGGCGTGCCGCTGACGCGCTGCAGGCCCGTCCGGCCCGTCCGGCCCGTCCGGCCTGTCCGGGCGCAATGATGAACGAGGAGCGGACAATTTGCGCCGAGAGAAATGGCCGGCCGGCCCGGGCGTCGCAGGTGTGCGGCGAGGCGGCCGCGTTCGCGAAACCTCGCGGACCGCCAAGTCCAGGGCCTCGTCGACGTTCGCCAGCGGCACGCCAGCGCCGGGGCTTCCCCTAATTGCCTCCTGCAGCCAAGGCGGGGCGGGGCGGAGCGGGGCGGGGCGGGGCGGTTCACATGGTACGTGCCATGGCGGCAAGAGCCGAGGCGCCGAGGCCGTGAGGGTGGTTATGGCGCTGAAGAGGGGCATAAAGAAAAATGTTAATGCGGAATGGGGTTGGCTGGCCTCCACTTTTTGGCCTTCCATCGCGAGCCCGAGCCGCAGCCCGGAATGTCGAGTCGCACGCCCCGTGCTTCGCGGCGGGACCCGCCGCCCCGAGGGCGCAAAAGGGTGGAAGGGGCGGGGGGGGGGGCGAGCCGGGCCGTAAACGGGGTGTAGAGCGCATTACTTCCGCGCAGAAATACGTTACAAGGATGTGGAGGGGAGGGAGGGGGAGGGGAAGCGCTGAGCATGCCACCCCGCCTCTATCGGCGCGCCTACCGCCCCGCCCCGCCCCGCCCCGCCCCGCCCCGCCCGCACGCACGCCGCGGCGACGGAGCGGGCGGAGAGCGGAGAACGCCCTGCGCGCGGCGCGCGAGGCAGCGACGTCGCTCATGCGACATGCGCCGCTCCCTTCACTTCAAAGGGTAACCGAGAAAAACGGAGCGATAGGACGACGACGCCGGGGCTTTTCGCTGCTTTCGCCGTCGGCCCTGCGCTATGCTCCGCTTGGCTTTGCTTTGAGATTCCAGCCCCGCGGCGTCTGCAGGCCGATGCCGAACGGGGCGCCTCGTCGGCCTGTCTCTCTCGCACCCCAGAGGGACGCCCCGTGAGTGAGAGAGGGGGAAAGAGAGACCGCCCACTCCGAGTCCGCCTGCGGGCAGGCCGCCCCGACTGCAGGCCGCCCCGCCCCGCCCCGCGCCGTTCCCTTTGTGCCCGTCGAACCCAACGGCTGCTCTGCAGGCGGATTCCCAAACGTGCTTCCGTCGCTCTGTCTCTCTCGCACTCGCAAGGCGTTCGTGGGGGAGAGAGAGAGACAGCGCGACGAAACGACCGTTCGGAGTCAGTCTGCAGGCAAAGGAAGAGGCACGCGTCGTGGGATCAATAAAGCAATGTCCTGCGATAAAACGAGCCGGCGTCGCACGGCCCGGCCGAGGCCTGCCCCCTGGCTCGACTGGCTCGCCGTGCCGCTTAGCATCCTTACGGCCGTCGTTAAAGGGAACAGGTGCGGATGGCAGTCGGCCGCGCTGCTGCAGTGTCCTCAAACGACCATTTCTTTTCCGGTGTGCAAGCAACCTGCTGCGCGCGGCGCTCTGGCCCCGATGCTTTTTCCCGGCCTGCTCGTCTCTCCGGGCCGACCGTCAGCCAGCTCCTGGCACACTGATTCCGAGAGTCGTTTTCGTCGCGCTGCCACTCGCGGGGCGTTCCGTGTGGGTGCGACGGCGACCCTCGGAATCAGTCTGCAGGGCGGCGAGGCGCAAGGGCGCGGGCGCACAGTGGGCCAGAAGCCGGTGGAGGCGGCCAAAACTCTAGACGCGTTTTGAGCTCCAGAGTCGCTAAATGGGGCTCGAACCGAGCGTGTGACCCCACCAATGGATTGCTCTCCGAACGAGGAATCCATTGGTGGGGTCACACGTTCGGTTCGAGTCCCATTTAGCGACTCTGGAGCTCAAAACGCGTCTAGAGTTTTTGGCCGCCTCCACCGGCTTCTGGCCCACTGTGGGGCGTCGTGCTTTGGTCGGAAGCCCAGTCCGCGATGCAGTGGAAGGACGGGACGGGACGGCGGGCCCTGCCGCGCGCTCTCTCGCACCCATGGATGGCTCGAATGGGTGCGAGAGAGACAGAGCGAGGCGACGCTGTGCGGAATGGCCCTACTGACGGAGCGAGGCAGAGCATCCGACACCCGTACGGCTTCACTGGGGAGCCGCCGTGGCGGGGGCCGTGGCGCCGCGGTGCCGTCCAGCCGATGGAAACATTTCCGGCAGCGCTCCCACTTCACCGCACCGGTCACGCCAGGCCCGCCAGAACCCGTTCCCGTTTTCCCTTGATTTACGTCCCCCATTTTGTCCGTCCGTCAGACGTTACTGGGATCCAGCGCGGAAAAAAAAATGACAAAAAAAGTTAAATTTAGATGATTTTTTTTTTCGCGGTTTTAATTAACAGAGCCGGTCCAGGCTGAGGAAGACGATGGTAAATTTGCCGGGCCGCAGAGGGACCGCACCGGGGCGGCGCAGACGCGAAACATTATTAGTGCCCCGACGGCACCAGGCGCAAACAGCAGCGCGTCGAGGGGCGGGGCGGGGCGGGGCGGGGCGGGGCGGGGCAGCCCTCAGGGGAACGGCACAAGCGTTACCTGGAGCAAGGCCTACACTGCAAAGCCGAGGGCACACACAAACACCGCCCCGCACCAACCTCAGCAGAGTTTAACCAGGACAACCACGTCCCGGTGCGATCCAATTTCGGCTCCCATCGACCCCGAACCTGATACGAGCGAATGGTCGCCGTTCCCCGGGGCGTTTTGTCTCGCAGGCCCGCGGCCCGCGGGTCGTGTGCATGTGCGCCGCGCCTGTCTTTTATAGACGCCACAGAGGCACGCCGAAGAGGAACTCGGGGGCACTCGGCGGGGAGGGGGAGGCGCGACGGGCACGTCCACGACGCCGTCGCGCGCCACGATATGCCACGACTTCCGCCGGGGAAATGAGACTACGACGCGCGAGAAATGGAGGCGGGGCGGGGCGGGGCGGGGCGGGCCGAGTCCCGATCCATATCCCCACGAGGAGTCCCGCATCCAATTGGGGAATCGAGGGAAGAGGATCGGGGACCGCCAAGCCGCCGCCAGACGACCACCACGACCGCGACGACGGCGACCTCGAGCACGTGCACAGTGCACAGCGAAGGGCGGCAGTGAAAAGACGGCGCACCTCGCGGTGCACAGTGGGCCAGAAGACCGGTGGAGCGGCCAAAATTCGAGACGCGTTTTGAGCTCCAGAGTCGCTCAATGGGACTCAACCGACCAATGGATAGCTCTCCGAACGAGGAATCCATTCGTGGGGTCACACGGTCGGTTCGAGTCCCATTTAGCGACTCTGGAGCTCAAAACGCGTCTCGAACTTTGGCCGCTCCACCGGTCTTCTGGCCCACTGTGCGGTGCCTGGCGATGCGCCGCGGCAGACTCGAAGGTGCGAGAGAGACAGACAGCGCGCCACCTATCGGCCTCGCCCTCGCCAGGCGCCGCGAGGCGCCGCCAGGTGAGGCGGTCACCGGCCGCCATTTTCTGACATTTTCTTTCCCTCCCCGCCGCCGTGCAGTGCGCCAAGCGGCGCGTCGCGTCTTGATCGTCTTGTTGTTGTTGTTGTTGTTGACGCTGCCGTTGTTGTCATTGTTAATAATGCAGCGCGAGGAAAATGGAAAGATGGCTTTTTTTCGACGCGGTCGCGGTGAAAAACACGCGAAACCGTGCCCGGCTCAATGGCACGGACTCTGCACGGCACAGGTGACCACAAAAAAACAACAACACAAAAACGGCAAAAAATGCGGTGGGAGCAGAAACACGCGCACGCAGCGCGCTATTTTGTTGGGAGCGGCCGCTGGCGCACGTAGTGGCCGACGGCCTCCAATTGTACAAACGTGATGCCATTTCAGAGACAGAGTGCCCTCGACAAACGCGCCGCGCGCTGTGCCGTGCGGCTGTGCGGCCGTGCCACAGCACTCTCCCGAATAGTCACCGCACCGCAGAGCGGCAGAGCGCTTCGCCGGGACTCGAACCGGGGACCGTTACGGGGGCCCGCAATTTGTGCGATGCGATTCCGCACCGCCCCCTCCCCTCTCGGCGTGGCTCGGCGTGGCGCGCCACTGCTAAAGAGCCCCCACGGCCCCACGGGGACACACGAGCGTCGCAAGAGCGCGCGCAAGGCGCACCAGGGCGCGGAGAGAAAAAGGAGGAGTGAACCAGGACGTTGGGCTGCACGATGAGGGTCTCGGCCGCGGCCACAGCGAGCATCGTCTCCGTCCGAAACGAACGCGGTGCCACTGTAAGAATTCGTCGTCACATTGACATTTTCATCACTTTCATCACATATGGTGACATTCCATTGTCAAAGCTCCCATCAATGTCGCATGGGCGTGTCAACAAAGAAACATCAAGTGACAACCAA